GTTACCGTATAAAATTTGCATTAGGTTATACGGGGTCATTATTCACTCATACTAGTTGGAAGAGACTGTATCTAGCAGGATAGTTTGTGACTCAAAACGATAAGTGTCAATACTAGAAATTAAGTTATATAACACTTAATTAACAACATGACATTGGTTAAGGTTTATTAACTTACAATTAATAAGTTATTTATATAAACCCATTGATTTTATATGAAAACACAATATTTATGTGGGAGGAGTTTGCCCCACTAGTTAATTTCGGTTTCCAAATTAAGTAAGATAATACTTAATTATACCACGACACGAATTTACAAAGTTTATAAATTTGAAACTTATGAGTTTTACATATAAACTATACAAATACTTGTACAAGGTTTCAAGAGTAAATTTGGCAATTTTATGTATTCAGAAAGAGTGATATGACTTTATTTTATATAAATTGGTATTCAAAATCTTTATATAAAAAGCATTTTGGTCGTGGGAACCGTAAAAATTTGTTATAAGTTTGATTTACTTATATATTTAATAAATGGTGTATTTTTGGATTTGAGCAAACGATATTTCTAAATGATTCTAAATATACTTTTATAACTCAATTATTTTATACTTTCGATAGAAAAGTACGTATTTATAAAAGCTAGTCAACCAGATAAATTTTATAAAACAGTTTTGAGTATAAAAATACTTTGTGTCAAACCCTCTAGAACTCACCAACAATTTTGTTGACGTATCTTAATGCATGTATTTTCAGGTTATTTATAAGGCCGTAAGTGTTCGTACAGAAGATCCTCCGATATTTTTATCACACAATTGTGAACGTCGGATTGTTAGGCGTGTGTAGCGATTCAACAATAACTATTATCAATGTAACTTCTATTTTGGTAATAATAAAATATTATATTTTTATTGTTCAGTGTATGTTCAATAACTGTGATTACTGGTATACATCGCGCACCTCAGCGTTTCCGTCGACGGTCGGGGGTGTGACACACGCTCTCGATTTTTTTATTACTACAACTTTCGTTTAGATCACTAAGGCTAATCAGCAATCTCCGACTCACGATTTACGACACTTGATGTCGTACTTGGTCGAACGTGAAAGTTCAATGGGTCATAACTTCTTCGTTTAAAGCCCGACTTAAGCGTTCCTTATATCCCCATAATCCTCATCACGACTACTTCGACTTTCATCAAGGTTATTCGTCCTAATTATTAATCTATTTACAACGCGTATTTTATTTCTTATTTCATTATATCGTTTTAAGCACGTATGCTAGATATAACTACTCATAGAACACATAATGCTTAATAATTCTCTTTGTTTATTCTTAGAAAGGTTACACTTGTTGAACATTATAATTATATCATTTTATTAATGCCTAGCGAGAAACGTGGGCGTTACAGTAGTTATGGAGATTGGGTCAAGAGGAGGCATAATGACCATTTGTACGATATAGTTGACAGTGGATAGGATTGCGAACCCCACGAACTCTGCCACCGTTTGAAATTCCACCTGTATCACCTCCACGAGTGTAATGTTGTTGTTTGTCCCGGGTATTTTTGGATCTGGATTGTTGAGACATAAACGCAGGAGGTGGGTGATAGAACCATCTAGAGATTGAAGACACATCTCATGACTTTTGGCTTGAGATAGCAAGTCACGAAAAGTTGGTGAGGGTTTGGAAGTCCTGATCGCATTGGAGAATGTTTCATAGGATGGTCCTAACCCGTAAAAAAACCAATGGAGTTTATGCATCTCCTCAACCGGCATTCCTATGGCAGCAAGCTTATCATAAACATTCATAAACTGACGACCATACTCAGAAACTGAGGATGGTCCTTTTGAAGGCTCCCTAAGAAAATCATGAAGAGAGTGAATCATTTCAACAGAAGAGTTGTTGCAAGCTGATTCTTATACAAGCCAAATAGTGCGAACTGTGGTGAGACCTAGAATTTCAGAGGCAACTTCCTCGGTAAGAGATGAGTTGAGAAGGATGATAGTCTTCTGGTCAAGATCGTGCCAAGTAGAGTAGGTAGGATTTGGGATAATTTTGTCTTCAACGGTAATAGTGAGTAGCGGTGCAACAACAATGCCATTGATATGGTTTGAGAGCTTTTAATAAGAAAAGAGAGGAAACATCTGATTCTGCCATAAGAGATAACTAGTCGAGCATAACTTGATAGGAATCATATGAAGAAGAGTATTCATTGGAAATGTTTCATCTTGTGATGTCGACATGGAGAGGAACCAGGAAGATGATCGATGCTGATTAGGGTAGAAAAGAAAGAGAGACAAAATTGAGGGAGGAAAGTGGAAGGTTGTTAGGTTGATACCATATAGAATATTGAGAAAATCAACCACACGTATCTTTGTGTGATTTTCATGTATTTATAATCATAGAAAATACAAAATTGCAAAAATACACTCCTATAATAAAGGAGTTGATAAATACATATATTAAATGAGTCTTTATTGTCCAATAAGGTTTGTTTTGGTAAATATATGGTTTTTCCAACTATCACTCCATGGAAATTGAGGTACAAGCAAACAAAAAAGCAATATGGAGGATGAAGGATTTGGGCACCATAATTGTAGGTGGAACTCGAAGTTGGAGGCAATTGGATGAGGGGTCCCAATATTGAGAATAGGGGTCGGGGAAGTGGGTGGGGTGTGAGGTTTCTTTTTTTCACACATATATATATATATATATATATATATATATATATATATATATATATATATATATATATATATATATATATATATATATATATATATATATATATATATATATAGAGAGAGAGAGAGAGAGAGACCCACTGGTTAATAATCAAATAAAGGAGGGGAAATATAGTCTTTTCATATTATATTTAACAGAAAACTAACAGTGTTATTAATAAGGACTAATGAGGTGCAAGGTTTCCTCCGTAGAAACCATTCTTGCGAAAATGGTTTCAACAAAACCATTTTACAGAAAAAAATGAAAACCATAAGGACAATTTGTGAAATTTTGCATTATCTTAATTAATGTTAAAGTAAATTATACAAATGGTACTTATGATTAGGGGTAGTTTTTGTTAAAATAATTTTACAATGCCATGTAAATCTTTTTACAATTATCAAATAAATACTTATTATTTCATGACACTTAAAAATGATCTCTTCATTGCCACACACCTCCAATTCTGATTATCTTAAGAAAGAATTTCACAAATAATCCATATGTTTTTAAAATTGTCTTAAAAACAGTTATTATGAAACTTTTTTTGTTTATATGAATGGTCCATTTCAACAAAACTTAGCACACCAATAATCCTTATGATGGACGTCCATTTGATGGAGGCTTTAAATTGAGGGAATTTTAGATAATGACGATTTCTAACATTTTTTGAAACATTCGCCCAATGATCATTTGTAAAACTTTGTCTAAGGACAATTTGTGAAACATCACCTAAGGACCATTTCTGACATTTAGTTGACATTTACTTGTATAAATATTACTTTCTCTATATTTTTGTTTTTTAACCTTTTTTATTTGATTTATGAAATTTAAAAGAAGTATATTAAATATTGTATTAATAATTATAAATCAAATAAAAGGGTAAAAAAGTAAAATATAGAAAATGTAATATATACATAACTAAAAAAAAAGCTTACTAATTTTATTATTTAATCTAAATATATTTTATTTAATATATGAATAAATTTTGTTATCTAAACTTTATCTAAAATATTTAAACTACAATACATCATTAATGATATTTGTTTTTTTTTCATTTAAAAATATTTGAAGTATAAAAAAAATATTTTATTTCTTTTTAATTCTTATATTATGTATTTTTCAAAATTTATTTTTATTTTTCTTAATACAAATATATTTATTTTTATGAAAAAAATATGATGCATTATTATAAAAATAATAGTATGACTTTATTTTTTTTTAAATATAAGTATGTGGTTTTGTAATAAAGATAAAGATATATTTCTGTTTTGGTTTCATCATATAAATATTTTATTATCTCAAATTAAAAGTAAAAGATGACAATCAATGAATGATATTGACTTTAAAATATTAACTAAAAGAGAAATTAAATATCCTCTATTAACTAAAAGAGAAATTAAATATCCTCTTACTTTTCTTCCTAATTATCTTCCTACCCAATGGAAATGATGACAAGTGTCCAAAAATATAATTAATTTTTTCAAAATATGACACATGTTATCATTTCATATGGGTAGGAAGATATATAGGAAGAAAAGGTATGATGATATTTAATTTCTCTAACTAAAAATGAACCAAATAAAATTCAACTTAATTGGTTTAATTAGTTTGTTTAAAAGTTAAAACATAGGATAATTTTTATATTGGTTTGATATAAACTTTTGATATTTAACTTAACAAAATTGCTTAGTTTTATCAAATTTTGAATATATTCCTTAATACAGACATAAACCTTTCAAAGAAAAATTAAAAAAACGTCTCTTAATTAATAACAAAATAATGAAAATTTTATAATCACTCTTTATGATAGGAATAAACAAATAGATTCAAATTATATTTTTAAGGATGCCACAAGGACCACTTTTGCAATTACTCTATAATAAGTTATATAGAAAATAAATAGATTAAAAAAGAAATTAATAAAGGAAAAATAATATTTTTATGTATGATAATTACCAAATTTACAACGAAAATATGTTATAGATATCTTTTGAAGTAAAAATAAAAATAAAAATTAGAGACTAAACATTTATATTACCCAAACCTTAGGGAGTATTTGTGTAATTTAATATTAATGCTATTCATTCAGTTTTATTTATTTATTGCGAGTCATTAATACCCGAATAAGATGTCCAAAATATTCCATTATTTACATAATTTACATAATACTATAATTATACATAAATCCTAACAACACGGTGTCGTATTGGGTCTCCTTCCCACACCTTACCACCTATTTATTCACGCTGAACAGACCCCGCTATATCATCATCTTCTCTATCGCATGAAAATTTTGTGAAGTTTAGAAGGTCAGAGTAGAGGGAGAGAAACTGGTTATGGAGTTTTCTAGGATCTCTAGTGTTCTGTTGTTGTGTGTTTTTGTATTTCTATCATCCTCTGTCTCGATCTCTTCTGCTTCTGAGGAGGAGAAGGAATATGTATTGACTTTGGATCACTCGAATTTTTCGGAGATTGTGTCAAAACACAATTTCATCGTTGTTGAATTCTATGCTCCTTGGTACTTCTCTATCTCCTATGATATAATTCATGCTTTTTCCTTCGTTTTTCTTTGGATTAACTGAAAATTTTTACAAATTAAACATTGTTTTTGCCGATTTAAAATCTTTGAAAATGAGGCATTACTTTATTCTGCTTTCAATTCAATGTTTTCTCAATTGCATGCAACTGAATTGATGTGTTATGAGGTTTCGTTCTCTCTGTGTGTATATCTGTGTGTGTGTCTGGTGATAAAGAGTTCATATCAATTTATAGATGATATATATCGGAGAAGATAAAGAATTTCCATATAAATTTTATTTCTTTGACTTTATACTAATTTAAGGCTAATTTAAGAGCATTTAATTTCAACCTTTTCTTTTATTTTTTTTAAATTTTTTGAAAAAAATTTATATCGCTCTGAACTGTTTTAACTTTTAAGTGAATGCAGTTTATGCGTTTTATTCTTGGTTCATATTCTCTCCAATTCTCAAATCAACTATGATCCTAGATTAAGCTCTTATTTGTTTCATAAATTGTTTACAATCAAGGTAATTATTTACCTTATAAATGGACAATTCTGAACACGTACTACTTTGCCGATTATCCACTCATTGCAATGGCAGAATTGGTAGTATATGCATTAACATCCATGAGATTAAAAAGTCAGATCTTTATTCATATGAACATTTCACTTTTTCCGAAAATCATATATGAAATGAACTTCTGTTAATTGCATGACAGGTGTGGTCACTGTCAGCAGCTTGCTCCAGAGGTACATATCTTGTTCACAAATAAGTATATCTATGGGGAAAAAAAATTCTTATTTGTTACATATTTATTCTAAATATCTATCTGCAGTATGAAAAAGCTGCATCTGCACTTTCAAGTCATGACCCTGCAATTGTTTTGGCTAAAGTTGACGCCAATGCTGAAGAAAACAAAGAATTCGTAGAGAAATTTGAGATACAAGGCTTCCCCACAATCAAGATCTTAAGAAATGGAGGGGAGAACATTCAGGAATATAAAGGCCCAAGAGAAGCTGATGGCATCGTGACTTATTTGAAGAAACAAGTTGGCCCTGCATCATATGAAATCAAAACTTCAGAAGATGTCGAAAGCCTTATAGATCACAAAAAGATCTTTATTGTAAGCATTTTCACTTCTCTCCCTTTTCATCTCCTCACTCTGTAAATTGGACATGAGTTTGATGTATCGATTTATTATCATTTCAGGTAGGGATTTTCCCCAAATTCTCAGGGGAAGAATATGATAATTTCATGATTCTTGCTGAAAAGTTGCGATCCGACTATGATTTTGGCCATACTACAAATCCGGAGCTCATTCCTCGTGGGGAATCAACGATTACAAAGCCAACTCTTAGATTGCTAAAGCCTTTCGATGAACTTTTTGTTGATTCCAAGGTATTATTGTGTATCTTTTTATCATTCGTTTTTTTATTTTAGAAATTGAATTACACCTGCTATGCGAGATTTCAGGAATTCAATGTCGAGGCTATGGAGAAGTTCATTGAAGAAGCTAGCACTCCTCTTGTGACTCTTTTCGACCAAAGCCCTGAATACGCTGTATTTTTAAGCAAATACTTTGAAAGTGCAGAAGCAAAGGTGATGTTCTTGGTGGATTATAATCATGATAAAATCGATAATTTCAAATCATTATATCATGAAGTTGCTGGATTGTACAAAGGAAAAGGACTACATTTCCTCATCGGTAATGTTGCAGATAGTCAAGGTGTCTTCCAGGTATCTATCTTTCTCAATAATTAAATCAAAATTTCTTTTGATTTCATTTCTTATTTTGAAATTTTCATTTTAACCTTGCTTGATGAACAGTATTTTGGAGTTAAAGAAGATCAAGCACCTGTCCTCATTCTACAAGACACCGAAGGTGTGAATTATGTGAAGCCAAATGTGGAAGTTTCTCAGATTGTTCCTTGGTTGAAGGACTACACAGTATGTTTGTACTAATTACAAATATATTTTCATTTTATTCAAAGAAAATGTAAGAATTCTTGAACTTATGCACTTAAAACTAATATTTCCTTGTAGGAGGGAAAGCTAAAGCCGTTTATAAAATCTGAGCCAATTCCGGAAAAGAACGATGAGCCTGTGAAGGTGGTTGTTGCCAAGAGTCTTAGAGAAATGGTTTTGGACTCCAAAAAGAATGGTAAATTCAAATTAATAATTGATCCAACATTTTTTTTTTTATTGATAATAATAAAAGTATGATATCTAAAAATCTTTGTTTCACAGTTTTACTAGAGATCTATGCACCATGGTGTGGGCACTGTAAAAAACTTGCTCCAATCTTGGACGAAGTTGCCGTGTCATTTGAAAAGGATCCTAGTGTCGTAATTGCCAAATTGGTATTACTTTTATTTTGATGCAATAAGTTTATAAATTAATATAATTACAACTAATTAATTGTTACGTGTAAACTGTCACTATATAATTAATTAAAGAAACTAGAAATGTACAAACCTAAAAGTTGAAGGACCTAAAGTAGATGTTTCGGTTTAATATCAACTTTTCCTTTTTGATCAACGCATAAACAAACAAACAAAAAAGTGAAACTCAATTGAAACCCATCGTGACAATTGTTTTTTCATAATATGTTTCTTTCAGGATGGGACTCAAAACGACATTCCAAGCGATACATTTGATGTTAAAGGTTACCCGAGTCTTTACTTTAGATCAGCAAGTGGTAAATTCACTTCATATGATGGGAATAGGACAAAGGAGGATATCATCGACTTCATTCACAAGAACATTGAACCGGTTTCTGAATCGCTTAGAGATGAGCTTTGAAGAGTTTGAATTTCTTTTTTTTTTTTTTTTTTTTTCCTATCTTTGGGTAGTTGGATCTTGGATGTGTACTCTTTTAGAGTTTCGAGACATTAAGTTAAATCGCGGATTTTGCCGTGTTTTATGGTGGTAAATTCATGTTGTTTGAGATTCACGTAGTTTACATGAAAATGGATAAAATAAGAGATATGGAATTCAGTAAAAGGAAAAAAGTAAACTGGTATAAAAGAGACCATCAATTAAAAGCTTTTTTAAGTTTTAAAATTACATGTATTCTATTTTAGTAAGTTTAAACTCGAGAAACTGAATCACTGATATAAAACCATTTTGTACTTGATATAGACATCAAAATTTGCATGTTCCGTTTTTTACTTGATATAAAACCGTTTTTCACTAAACATTTCGTGTGGGAAGTTTTTCATGCACCTTTGAACTCTACTTTTTCATACATGTATTGGTGGTTACAATTTGAAAATCATGCTCACACATAAAAGCCGAATAGGTTATTTACCAAAAAAATATGTCTAGAAATATTAAGAAGTGTTTGCTTATAACATTTAGGTTTCAACATAACCAAGGTTTGTTAGATAGTTACTGACTAAGTAAAATGTAACTGAGTCAGAAGCTCTAATTGTATTTGTTTCTGATTGAAACTATATTGTTTGATTATGTCTCCAACCTTATTGTGCCGAATGCAAAAAATGATAATTTTACCCTTTAGTTTTATTTATGCCAACTAATATCATTTAAAAATGAATTACTTCTATAGCATTTAAAAATTTACCTCTATATCATTTAAAAATTAACATTTTTGAGTAGTGATGAATTTTAAAAATAATAATATAACCAAATATAATAGACATGTAAAGCACCCAGTCGCATGAGTCAGTGGTGTTTTCAACCTCCTTATAATAAATTAATACACACCCTTTTTTCTCTCATCACTTTCCATTTCATTCAATTCTAGAGAGATAATGAGATGTGACTCAATCTCCATACAAAAGTTGCAGCTCTTTTCCAGGGCAGTTCTACGCCTCCTGAACCATCAACCATGATAAATAACACCACCACTACAAATCTTAATTTTTGTTCCCTTCCGGTGGGAAAAACAACCATGTATCCATAGACGACCACAAAAACTCCAAGAATGCCAATGGTGGAATCCAACATTATTACTAAACATCCTCACCCTCTTCTTATCCTTGTTCTCTTCGATCGATCACAATTTTCAATCCTTCTGAACTCGATCAACATAGGTAAAAGGGTACTCCCCTCTCCCTCTCTCCCTCTCTCGCGAAGATGCGATTTTTTGGATGGGGTTAAAAGGATGAACAGGGGTTGTGGTTTCCTGGTTATGTATATGGTTGGTTTTGTGGTAGCTAGAATGTCAATGGACCAGTGATGCAAATGGCAAAAATGTGGAGAAAACAAATAGGACCGAGTCAGTTACTTTCGTTTCACTTACTGAGTCAGAGGGTGTTGACCACGTCCCATGGTCTTATTCCACATATAAAACACACTAACCCACATTGATCGACCGAGTAAGACATTTTTTTACCGGACTCGATCAGACTTAAATCAAACAAGACCCAAGGCAAAACTATCTTTTCGTACTTAGGGAGGATGAAATTTTTTCCTCCCAACCCACTTAACCCACTGTCACATCAGTTTTTTCTCTCGCCTCTCGCTTCATCTTTTTCAACCCACAACATATGGAAACAATATCTTTTCCAACTCATTCAACCTACTTGTCAGATTTCTTTTTTATTTAATTAAATTAGAAAATATACAATAAAATAAAACATAAAAAAATTTCATTTAAAAGAAAATTTTGCTAATTTAAAGCAAAAAAAAAATCTAAAACAATATTAAAAATAACATTTAACTAAAAAACCACACTACAAATAATAAAACACATAATAGTTATAAAACACGATAACTAAAAAACACACTTAAAAAAGACAAAATAATTAAAATCCTAAAACGACAATTAAAATTAACTAGTTATCCAAAGTTGGAATGTAGAAATGTTCAATGTGATTAGTAAGATCAGATCGAAGCTGGTGGTAGGTTTCAGGATTACGCAATTCATGTATTATTTCAGGGTCATCGACTTCGTCATTGGGAGGGGGAGGGGGGGGGGGGCTAATGCACAGGAGATATCGCAGTACCCTCATATTTTAATATCATATTGTATAGTATAATACAAACGTACATGAACCGTTTTTTTTGGGTAAAGAAAATATGTTGTTTGATAATATAAATACGTTCAATCTTACATAACTATTGTCATTAACATATATTCTCACTAATTAAATTGTCTATAAGGTTATTATACACTTATTATTATTATTCTCATTTCTATCAGAATGTTTTATTGGGTCGTATTCTGTCAGAATGAAAATGAGTGAAAAACGATGTATGAGAACAAAAAAAAAATAATAATTAACGAGAATGCATGAAATTGACGATATTCTTGTAAGGTTGAACGTATTCGCATTGCTAAACAACTCATTCTCTTAGTAATTCTCATAGCATACGATAGATGTACAATAATTAGTTTGAATAGAATAACCTAAGCATATATATATATATATATATATATATATATATATATATATATATATATATATATATATATATATATATATATATATATATATATGGCCGTTAAAGCCAGACATTTTTAATATGTCCCATCGTCCTTTAAGGACCCCCCAAAAGCACGTTCTACGTTCTTTCTTGTTGATTCTTGTGCCGTCTTGAACCATCTTTTTTCGGTAACTAGATATCGATATGCCTTCACAAATACAGCCCATTCCATCCGCAAGATAGTAACCATCTTTGTAGTGTTCATCATTCAGATAAAATGAACAATTACCTCCTATTCCATGATATTTCTCACCAACAGCGGTGATTGGTTGAGGACGTTTAAATAATTGTTTGAACCGGCTACACCATAGAATGCATGCCCAAACCATAAATCTTGTGATGTCACAGCTTCTAGTATCATTTTGGATACTGATGGTGACCCCTCATGTATTGGACTCTCAATTCCATTGGACAATTCCTCCGATTCTAATGTGTGCAGTCAATGTGACCAAGCATTCTAGGGAATCCATGTATAGCTTCATGTGCTTCAGAAAAAAATTAAATGTTAGTGGATGTTGGACGGCGTAAATATTCAGCCTTATACCATTTAAACAATACAATAGCAAAAGTTTTCAAGAGCTTCACGAGAAGTTCTTTCTGACATATTTAGATACTCATCTAACGAGTCTGGGTTATAACTATTTGCTAATTAACGTATTGTTGATGTGCATTTTTGTAGCGCATTGAAACTTCTTTGATTTGTTGCATCCTATGTTGTCTGAAAATAGGGATATTTCATCTCCATGTCACCAAAAAGTCGCATAAAATAGGCTGAGTCATAGGTAATGTAATGCCAGATCATTAGTCGTTCAACCACTAAATGATCTCTTTGGATTGTGTTTGTCCTTTGAATGTTGCTTGAAGTAGCATTATTCTAAATAACAAGTTGTGAAGTACGAGACAACGCAGGTAGCAAATTATTATTGATAAGTTCATCCTCATATGATGAACTATCGTTGTTACCTTCCATTACTATTTTTCGAAGGTTTGGATTCATTTTGAAAAGAGAGAAAAGATAGGGAGAAAATGAAACAAACATACATATTTATAGATAATGAAACAAGTATATATATATATATATATATATATATATATATATATATATATATATATATATATATATATATAAAATAAAAAAACGTACATATAGACGATCTTAATAAAAAAGAAAATAAAAATAAAAATAAAAACAAATAAAAGAAAAAAAAAAGAAAAAGATTTTCCACTCAAATGATGTCGGCATTCTGAACTTCACGGGTTCTATAACTCCCAACCATATTTAGTTTCAATTTTTCATTTCCTTTCAAGCACCGTGCGCAAAATATCTCTAGCCAATTTATCATGCGGTCGGAGAAAATACTCCCTATCTTGGTTCTCCATCTACCGCTCCAACAATGCGATTTATGTTCTTTATTATCTTTGAAAATGCCCAATTTTTTTTCTTGGTCTGTTCCACCTATGTGTTGGTTGCAGTGTTGATGTTGAAAATTTGTTTGACGAGATCTATCAATGTTGATGCCTTTTTCTTTTCTTTTATTTTTCTCTGAGGCAGTGAGTCTTCAACATTAAATAACTGTTTGTTGTTGGCGAAATCCGGGAGGATACTCTGTGTGACATCCTCTAATTTTCAGAACCAAAAGAAATATTTTCTCACAAATCCTAGTCCACGATTATCAGGAAGATAAACCGTTTTTAGAGCAATGGTTTGACTACACAGATAGGGGCTTCCTTTTCTGGTGTAATTCATAAAGACACATGAGCCATCAAAGTATTTTCATGAATATGGTATCCCATTTCATCTATGTCTATGGGTTATGAGCCCACTCTAGCAACATAATTCATAAGACCATCTAGAATGATCAATTGTTGTCATCTTACTCTGGGAATAACCAGACATACCATTACACTTTCCTGATCTGGACCCACCATTACTGGTCATCAAAAAGGAATAGTATATTGTAATCTAGTACGAAATTCGTACATCGACACCCGATAGTGTCATGGAACACAACTCTACTCTGCGTTCCTATCAAACATGTCCCTAAAACGAGACTACCCAATATCAAACCTAATTTGACTAAGCCTTCTTTATAACTCTTAGTTCAAGATCGAGATTAGACTACAATCCATGTGATCTGTTAAGTCATTACCTGTGTAAAAATAACTGTTTTCAGAATTTAGTCTTGTTCTGATTCCGAAATGGGCATGTCTGTTTTCGGAATCTTTATCCTTTACGTCTATAAATAATGTACTATTATTGTCTTTTTTTGGAGACGTCGTCCTAGCATTAAAAGAATAGTTCTGATCTTGTGTACAAATTGTTCTAATGCTAAGTGAATGAAGTTCAACATCTTTTC